CGTCCGTGAGAATTGCACCGCACTGAGTTACGCTAATTTTCTATCTCGCATCTGTCAAAAGATTCACTGGTGCAAACCTTCGTCCGTGAAAATTGCACCGCACTGAGTTACGCTAATCTTCTACCTCGCATCTGTCAAAAATTTCACTGGTGCAAACCTTCGTCCGTGAGAATTGCACCGCACTGAGTTACGCTAATCTTCTATCTCGCATCAAACGAAAGTCACAGCAATCCCGTGCACTTGCCGCGAATCACCGTGTTCCGTGTGTTGCTTTCCAGAAAATGGCGGTCTGTATTGCACCGGCAGTAACTCGACCGGTCAGCTTGGCCTAGGAACAAATCTGACGGAACTCTACACGCCGAAGCTTCTTCCACGTGGCGCTCTTCGAAGCGAGAAGATCTCGCGAGTCTCTTGCGGAGAAAGTCACACCGCCGTCGTCACTGGTAAATTTCAACGCGAATTATCATTCTTGGCGGAATTTTCAAAAATTTTCAAAAACTTCAAACCTGACTGAACAGCGCCCTGTTTCTTTAACGTAAGTTTTTCTCTGTGGGAACAGAGTCCGGTAAACTTTACACGTGCGGCGACGGAAGGCACGGGAAATTAGGGCTGGAGGAGAACGAGAACAACGTCCACGAACTGACATTCGTTCAGAGATACAAGGAGCTCTTCGTTTCCAATGTAATTACGTTCACACCTGTTGTCATTATTGGTGTAATAACTTTATACAAATTACGGATAATCCTTTTCTTCAACTTTCCAAAGGTCGCGTGCGGTGGCTGTCACACGATCTTGGTCGGCCAAAGACGCGAAACGAATAATCGTTCGCAGAGGGAGGACAACTCGCAAGTGGTAACTAAAACAAATTTCGTAAATCAGCCTGGCGAACGATAGTTTTTCACGCAGTAATATAATATACAATGATAGTTGTTGTAAATAATTACACGATCAAGTTTGTTTATCTTCTTACCAGGAGCACATTCAGAAAAGAAATCCGCTGCCGCCGTTAAAATTAAACAGGCGGCAAAGCGAGACTCTCGATGAACACGTTGGTGAGACAACGAAAAGGAAAAACAGCACCGAATCTGTGACAAATGGAACTGTGGAAGCGTCTTTGGAGAAAATCGAAGAGACTGACAAAGGCAACGTCGGCAGTGACGTTACCGATCCCACGAATGACGTCGAGAAGTCCGACAGTCCGGAGAAACGTACGAGCGAGCAACCAGAGGAAAAGTCGTCGAACGAAGAAGAAAACGCGGGAACGACACTGGCTAATACGAGAGAGTCCGAAGAATCGGAGAGACAAGATGAAAATTCGGAACTGAGGACAGAAGAGGAAGCGCCGCCGACAAAGACAGATGCCGAGAACAACGTTCAGGAGGAAGAGAAGTCCGAATCGATGAACGACGAGAAGGATAACAAAGAAAACGAGAGCAACGAGACCAGCGTGAAAGCAAGGGAAAATTCGGCGGAGAACAACGAAGAGATGAACAAGGATAACGACGATAGCCTGGAGAATAAAGATGAAACGGACAGCAACAAAGATGCGAAAGAGTCGATGCAGGAATCGGACAATGGCGACGATGCTAAGCGAGAGACGAGCCCGAAAGAAGAAACGTCACCTTCGGATTCTACGCCGCCGCCAAAGCCGCCGAGACTGAAGTCCGGAAGTGGAAATTCCTCCGCCGAGAGGGCGTCGTCGATGGAGAAAGAAGACGACGAAGAAGGAAACGAGAACGAAGGGAAGACGGAAGATATCCCGGTGAAGAAGTCAGACGCAACTGAAGAGGACGAGCTTTCGGGAGGGAAAGAGGAGTCAGGGTCGACGAAACCCGCGACGAGAAGCGGAAGTACTAAATCGGCGAGGTCGGCAGTGGCTGCGGAGGAGACGATAGAAATCGACAATCAAAACGACAAAGACAGAGTTGTCGAAGAGGAAAAGGTGAACAGTGACAATGCGCAGGATGATGCTGACGTCGTGCAGTCACCACCACCAAAAACTGGTAAGCAAGGCAATTGAAAAACGTGAAATATGTGAATATTAACCTTTTGCACTCGGCTGTACTTTCTGAGGGCGACTTAAATCTAGCCAATTCCTTTTTTTAATTTGCTGATTTAATTATAACGAATGTATACATTTGGTGTCGTACGATGCGATATATAGTAATACTAGTAATAGATAATAATATAATATGCAAAAATAATATACTATAATATATACTATAATATAATATATACTATATAGTATATAGTATATTATATTATATATTATAATATACTAATATACTATATTATAATATAATATATTATAGTATACTAATATAGCATATTATAGTATAATTATAGTATATTAGTACATTATAATAGTATACTAATATACTATTATAATTATAGTATATTATAATAGTATACTAATATACTATTATAATTACAGTATATTAGTATACTATAATATATATTATAGTATACTGTATAGTATATAGTATATTATAGAATATTATAATCTACTATAATATACCATATATTATATATTATACTATATAATATACTATAATATAATATACTATAAAAAGATAATATACCATCTATCTAATACAAAGATAATATAGATCTTAAAAAAAAGATCTATAATAATACATAGACAATAGTGTAAAAATAAGTAGTATAATATCTGATAAGAGACGCCTAGAGTGAAAGCTATAAACAACCACGTGAGAAGAACAAGAGAATTTCAGAAAGAAGAAATTTCTGATGTGACAATTGATCTCTCTGACTCAATAATTCACATAATTCGGAATAATTCAAAATAGACTAGACTTCTTATTGCTTCCTACGAAAGTTTAAAAAAATGGCCAATGATGTTATTCTTTTAGACAATATTATACTTGTTCTAGCAATGCACGTTGATGACTGCTTTAAATTCAAACGATATCAAAGAAAGATATAATTAGCAAAATTTCGTGTTAAATACCATTTGCTGTGCCATTCTATTCGAAGCGATACTTCGTAAATAAATTGCTGGTAGATGATACAGGAGAACGTTTGTCGAGAGCAAAGGGTTAAACTATGTTTACAGTTTATGTAATTAAATCTAGAGATTTCCAATGCTACGAGACTACAAAACTTCTGGCGTTGCGTTAACATTAAATCTATTTATATTTCATTTTGAAGGTAGAATATCGAAGATATTTAGAAGTAAAAAGCCACAGGCAATGGAGAATGGCACCAAGACGTCCGGCATTGTGAATCAAAAATCTAAAGTAAGTTTCAGTAAATTTCATTTTTCAATAGTACACGTATCTTCCGCGTCCGTGTCGTAGACCCTAATCTATCGATTCTTTTCATTTTCCAGTCGAAAACCTGCACAATCCTATGATCAAGATGTCTTCGAGGATGTAACATACTTCATTACAATTTTTATTACAGTGAATGCATGACGAACGTGAAACTGGGACCAAGTGAATTGATAACAATAAAGTGATTTCATTTTTAATCAGAGATAACGTCATTCGTAAAGAAGAAGAACTCTCACGAGTGTGCAATATGCACACGGTGTAGTATTTAATTGTTTCTTTCAGCTTTTATCAAACAATTCCAATGTCAATCTTTTATCAAACAACTCCAAGATCACGTTGTGTAGGATGAATGATGTATTTAAAGCTAGAGATAAAATCTACTATCACCGGAAGGATAGGAAGATAGTATTAGAAATCCAAAGTGGCGATTACGAAGATGGAGGGAAGAACTTATCCAAAATTATAACGAGCGTCTTCTTTCTTTCGTTTTTATTATCATATAAATCCATGTTCTGAAATAATTTTATAATAAGCTCGAAAAAAAAAAACAGCTGTCTTTACGTGTCTTTACATCAAGAAGGTCCGTCCAATGTAATCGAAAGTGTACTTATAAAATACTTCGGTGAAAATCACTTGTAAATACAACGTGTAGCCTAAGAGAGAAAGGATTTTGAGATAAATGACTGAGGGATAGAAGAAACGAGCTGTAACACAGATTGGAATCAACGTTAATTGCATAGCATGTTATATTCGATGCTGTGCTCGCATAATACGTGTAATCGTTCTGGATATATTCTTTTGTATAACTTCTGTGAATAAATAAAAGTAGAAGAAACTCAGAGAAATGCCTCAGGTAAAAACCAGTTGAAAACCAGTTTGTGTTGTGCAAATTTATATCCTCACTATGAAAATTGGTTTTCACATCACTCTGGTGAAACTAATGCGATTTGACAGAGATTCGCGTCGAATTGATTATAAAATGTGAGGAAGCCGTCGCTTAAGTTTAAGATCCTGTTTCTTGCAAGCCTGCGTCAGAGAATCGAGATTAACCGCCGTAACGAAGAAATTACGTTTCTTCGAGTCCAAATGGGAGAATATATGCTGCGGCAGATTGTCAGAGAGCACGTAAAGCGTATTGGTGGCCCGATCGATGGACAGATCGTTGGGGAATACCATCGTTGTGTTGTCTTGAGCCGCAAGAACTGCAAGAGAAATCGAAATGATTTATTACCGTATATATGCTGCATCACACTGTATTTTTATATAAAATATGAGCACGATTTCGCGGAATTCCGCGTTGCATAAGAATTAATCGATGCAATGTAAAATGCCCGTGGACAGGTTTCTTCTCAAGGAAAATCTCATTGTCATACGATAAAACAGTTGTTAATGATAGTTATTCTTGGTTTACAATTGTTTCAGGATAATCATCGCATTTTTTAGTAATTATCCAGCAATCACTGGCTATTTTCTCAGAAAATAATTCTGAATTATTTAATTAAACCTTCAAAATCTTGTGACTGGATTTTTGTCGGATGATTCCCTTTTTTTTTTTTTTACGTGGAGAAAATCTTCGTAAGACACCTGAGTCTTTTAAGAGAAGACCCACAGATAATGTCGGATTTTTAGCAACTAAAATACCTCCACAATGGCCGTCCTCCGCACGTTGGAAGAGCTCCGGGACCTTTTTATCCACACAAAGCTCTCCCGTGCTGTTGTCCTAAAGGACAATGTCTTTTTTCTTTTTTTTTCGCCCGAACAGGGGCTCAAACCCTGGACCCTCAGATTAAAATCTCATTGTCATACGATAAAACAGTTGTTAATGATAGTTATTCTTGATTTACAATTGTTTCAGGATAATCATCGCATTTTTTAGTAATTATCCAACAATCACTGGCTATTTTCTCAGAAAATAATTCTGGATTATTTAATTAAACCTTCAAAATCTCGTGACTGGATTTTTGTCGGATGATTCCCTTTTTTTTTTTTATTCTTTTTACGTGAAGGAAATCTTCGTAAGACACCTGAGTCTTTTAAGAGAAGACTCACAAGTAGTGTCGGATTTTTACCAACTAAAATCCACCTTTCCCATAAAAGGGACCTTCTTATCCACACAGAGCTGTTGTCCTAAAGGACAATGTCTTTTTTTTTCGCCAGAACAAGGA